TTTTTTTTGAGAGAGAGAGACAGAGTGTGAGCGGGGTAGGGGCAGAGAGAAAGGGAGACACAGAATTCAAAGCAGGCTCCAGACTCTGAGCTGTCAGCCCAGAGCCCGATATGCGGCTGGAACTCACAAACTGTGCGGTCATGACCCGACCTGAAGTCGGAGGCTTAACTGACTGAGCCAAACAGACTCCCCTCTAGCGGCAATTTTAATTCTGATCAAGATTACAGCAAATGTTTTTGAGACCTATAAAAATTTGATTTTCATAATACTTTCTACAATGTTTGGAATTAGTGCTTTATTAAAAATTTGGGGGGGGGATGCCTGGTGGCCCAGTCGGTAGAGCATGTAACTCTTGATCTCCAGATTATGTTGGGTGTGAAGACTACTTAAAAAAAAATTTTTTTAAGGTTCTGGTAAAGTGGGAAGGAGGAATCTTCTATTCTGTTTTGTCTAATGAACCATCCGAAGGGTCTTGGGAGGGACTTGGGGAGGAGTAAATCTATGGCTTCGCCTTTGGTTTAGTAACGCTAATTATAGCAACTCGAGTGATATTTCTCACAGGCTTCATGTGAATTATCATTCTATCCACCAGGCACTTCTAGGGGCTCATACCCTTTCACTCAGTCAATGAGCCCTCACTTGCATCCCCGCCTGTACCACGGCTGCTACGGTGATATCATGACCATGGAGACCTCTGGTGCTTCTTGTGATATAACCAGGTTGATTAACTGTGGTAAGTGAAAAGCAAAGCAAACATTTGGCTTTCCCATTTTCATCATTTCCAGATTCATTTTTAGGAAGTAGCTTCATTTTAAAAAGGTATAATCACTGTTACAACAATGATACCAAAATTAAAAATTAGAAGAAAGCAGAATCCTCACCAACCTAACAATCTGTTTCTTTTCATTTTCCCCCTATTCTTTCCAAACTTTGTCTTAATGGGTTTATTTCTACATATTGAAATGCCTGTTTACATAAAATATTACATTCTGGCTTTGTTTTATGTTTTTTTGTTGGTTTTTACTTCATGTTACAGCATGAGCATTTTAAGCACGCCTCTTGCTCTCTGTACATCTTGTCTTTTGAGAATCCTGTTCCAAAGTCTTCTTCATGTTATCCCAGTATTAGAAAATCAGTACTGGAAGCAACAACAAGGTCAATCTAATCCTACCTCCCCCGATTTATAGATCTGAAAACGGAGGCTCAGCAAGAAGAGACTTCCCATGGGTCTGGAACTAGGTAGTGGCAGAACCAGACTCAAATTTAGGCTGGCTGACTTCTAGTTCAAGAGTCTTCCCAATGCACCAATGTGGCGGGTAGCAGAAGATCAAGAAAGAGAGCAGAAGTGGTATCTGCCAGTGGTTGTGAACCTTTCAAGGTTTATGCAATTAGAGATCAGAAAATGTCCTAGAATAGTTCCAAGATGTGGTCAGGTGCCATGACTAACTTACTAAACTTTGAAAGCGGGTTTTCTTCTGGAGTAAACAGTTTATTTTCTATTGACTTAGGGATCCGTGGTTCTGAAATGTTTGCTGAGATGGATTTGAGGGCCTTAAAGCCTTACCAGATTCTGATTAAAGAAGTTGGGCTGAGGCATTGTGTGGACCCTGCTCTCATTGCAGCCATCATCTCCAGAGAAAGCCATGGTGGAGCAGTCCTGCAAGATGGCTGGGACCACAGAGGACTTAGATTTGGCTTGATGCAGGTACCTGGCAAGGACATTTTCAGTCAGTCCCACTTTATCCTTCCTTTTGGAAGCTCAATCCAATCTGGATACTCATTTGCAGTACTTCCAGTCTTCAAAACACCCTGGTACTTCAGCATCATTTGCACTTCTGTATTTCTCTAACTTATCTTTGGTTATTTCATTCAAGATTTATCAGTTATTGGCTGTCTTCAGAAAAAGTATTTAATGAGTTTTATAATTATAGTTTGCAACTAATAAAATGTAATACACTTAATTGAGAAAATCTTATAAAGGGTACTATTAAAGGTGTCCATTTGGGGTTCATAAAGTAGTAAATTTCATCCACGTAGATCAAAACACTATAATTAAGCTCTATTTGAACGAACTTGTTTTTTTAAGCAAATTGGAGAAGACAATCCAAATTATTTGGATGTTTGCTTCCAGTCTTTATTTTAAATTGTCTGTAGAAACCCAGACTTTAGCTGTCCCAGTTAGAAACAAATTTTTATTTTTGACTGCAAGTATCTAGACATTGAGTGCTAATTATTTGTTTTGAAACAACTTTTTCATATATTTATTTCTATTTGAGAGCTTAACTAAAACTATGCCACATTCACATCTCCTAAATCATACTTTGTTTCTCCAACTCTCTTTTCGTGAGAAAAAGGACTATAGAATTGATTCTGTGGAGATAAAGTAAGGGGGCCGAGGCCACTGTCTGTGTACTTGAATACAAGGAAGAGAAATCAGGAATAGCAGAAAAATGCATTGTTTCATCTAGATGCTGACATTATTATCTGATTTTTCTAGCTTGATAAAAAAATTCATCACCCTGTTGGTACCTGGGACAGCAAAGAACACCTATTGCAGGCTGTTGGGATTCTAACAGACAAAATAAAGGCAATCCAGAAAAAGTTCCCCACGTGGAGTGTGGCTCAACACCTCAAAGGTAGGCCATATTTGTGGAGCTTTGTTAAAAAGTTCAGTGAGTGAGACCCCTGAAGACCAGATGTGCCCTGGGCCTCCCTGAGGGCATTCTCATGGGGTCAACAGTGGGCATAGGAGGAGCTGCCGGATGACTGTACTAGTTTTCTCCAAACCACTGAGTTACTTTGAGTGGTCTTCCTTCCCAACTTCCATTTCCTCTTCTGCCAGACGTTGGCATTCTCATTACCTCTCTCCTTGGTTACTGAGCCACTGAGTGATGTCTTGAGTATTAATGCCATAGTTTAAAAGAATATGTTTACCTCCCTCTGATAGTTTTTTTTCTTGATGAAAGAAACTGTTAACCTCTTTATGAATTGTTTGAACAAATTTTTACTCTGTGAGCATTCTCAGTGACATCAGGGCTTTAGGTACCATGACATGTCCAAGTGGAGATTTCTGCTTGGTTGATCACAGATCTCCTCAAGTTCAGCATCTTCCAGACTGAATTAAGTCACTAGCTTCCCACTATAAACTTGCTCTTTCTTCTGCATTTTCTACCTCTGAAAGGTGTCAAAATATGTCTAGTCATTCCAGCCAGAAAAACAGATTGTTTTCTTAGGTTCTCTGGTTCTTTCTGTCTTCACATCCAACCACACCAAGTCCTATTAACTCTACCTTCTATGGACTCATGGTATGTATATACCTCTCTCCTCCTTTAACATCCTTAATTTAGAACAAACAATTTCTTTTTCCTTGAAATCAGGGATCAGGACCAGGGAGCTTTTCCTCTATACATCAGAGCAGAGCATAATTATGTTAAACACATAACTAGCTATTGAAGATCAAAATTCTTGGTAAAATACACCTACACACACATATCCCTACATAGAAATGATTATGTCTTGGATACCGTTGTGCACCCTGAACTCAGTGTGGCACCCATCCTGGCACATAGTAGGTGCTTAAAAACATTAACTGAATGCCTAAAAAAGTGAGTGAATAAGTAATTTTTTAAAAATTAGTAAGATATTTAATGGCTGAGAGAATGTTATAAGCATTCTCAGACTGATTTGCTGAGGATCTACTTTTGTCAGACCTGGACTGTATAAGAAGCAAATACAACTTTTGTAGCAAGAAATACAAAGGACTTTTAAAAGGAGAGAGAAGGAAAGCAATCTGGAATTTTCCCAGAGATTCTTGGGGTAGTTGATCCTTTTAGGAGGGGAGGAAAAGGGAAGGATCTGGGACTGCGTGCTTTGGATTTACCTAGGGGGCTTACATCCTGGGAATGCTCAAAGCTGATTTCTGCTGGAAGTTAATGTTTCATTCTGAACTTCTGTTTCATTTCAGGTGGTCTCTCGGCCTTTAAGTCAGGAATCGATGCTATTGCAACCCCAGTGGACATAGACAATGACTTGGTCAATGATCTTCTCGCCCGAGCTAAATTCTATAAAAGACATGGCTTCTAGGCAAAGCTCTATGGGTGGGCTGAGTTTGCAGGTATTCAGATGGCCCCCCTTTGAGAGTTTGAAATGGATGCGTTATACCCAACACTGGCAAAGAAATAGCTGCAATTATGACAGAAAATTCATATCTCAGTTTTCTTAATGCAAATAAGCATTAAAAAAGAAAAGGAGGGGCGCCTGGGTGGCTCAGTTGGTTGGGCGTCCGACTTTGGCTCAGGTCATGATCTCGCCATCCATGAGTTCGAGCCTCGCGTCGGGCTCTGTGCTGACAGCTCAGAGCCTGGAGCCTGTTTCAGATTCTGTGTCTCCCTCTCTCTCTGACCTTCCCCCATTCATGCTCTGTCTCTCTCTGTCTCAAAAATGAATAAACGTTAAAAAAAATTAAAAAGAAAAAAAGAAAAGGAAACCCACCCAGTTCATAGTACAGTTCCCATGAAACACACATAGACATATGCATAATTATTTTAAGTGTAAATATCATGGTGACTGACATCTACATATTCCAGTGAGGCCTTATTTTATCCCATGATTTCAATGGGATAAACTGACCCTTGTTTTACTGGAATTGTTAACAAGAGAGCCTGACCTGAGCTTTTGTCTTTCTCCAAGTATCTGTCTAAGCCACCAGGGTGTGATTGTGAGATATGCCTACTCATAAGCCAGTCAACCTGTGGGACAATGGAGAAGCTAGAGATGGAATTCTAGCTTCACAAGTAACTGAGAGCTGACTGTGGTAAAGCTGATCTGAAAGTGATATACTCCACATCCCTGACTCACATCAAGCTTCTTTGTCTTCTTCCTCTTATTTGCTGAAGATCCAGGGACTGGCTTATTTCAGTAACTCCTGCCACACACTTGTTGAACAAGTCCACTTCCCACAAAACATGACTGAAGATAAGCATATAGGACCTGACTGAGTTATGGTTCTTTAGTTTTAAGCAAAAGTAACCAATTCTGGAAAATTTAAGGAATGAATGGCCATTATGAGAAGGATATCAAAAGACTCCCAGAAACAACAAGGTCAAGGACATGAACAGAAACCAGGCAACTCTGGGCAGCAGGAACCAGTTGACCATAGTTGATAGCATTCCCACTGCATGAATAGATTAGCACTCTCCCTACATAAATAGACTCCAGAGACTTTCTCTCCCATCCTTTCATCATTTTGCTTCACTTTCATAGTCCCAGGAGAGAGGCTCTGACGGGCTTATCTTGGGGCATCTACATACCTATGCCTTGGCTACTTTGCTCTTTGGTCTTGCACAAACAATCCGTGATGGAAAAGAGACAGTTCTCTAGAATGAAACTTGGTGCAGTTTGTGGCTTTCCTTACATACTCAGGAGAGGACACAAATAATAATGCTGGAGTGTAAATCCCTCAAAGTCCCTGCCAACATGGCTCCTGCTTGGCCTTTAGCTTCCTTTGGGAATATTTGATAAAAGTTTCTACTCGTTATTTCTCTTTCTGAGGAGGAATAAAAATTAAACCCACCTACACTCCAGTGCACCCGGAGAAAGCCAAGTAAACCATTCTGCCCAACAACCTCTCAACCCAGTCTAAAGATCTGACCAAGGCAGAACCAGGCCCCTTGTGTTTCACTGGGCAGAGCCAATGGTCATCTAGTATGGCAGCCATGCAGCATACAGTCCATCTTTTATGATTGGTGAAGGACCATACTGTACCAGTTGTTAAATATTTTGATTATCATCCCTATATGTGGGCAATCCAGAATGTTCTTTAGATGTTCCCTTTGCTCAAGAATGATTTTTTCTGGACTTTCCTCCACAAGCATGTACTCCACCTAATTGCCAGCCCCTTCACTATTACTACTAAGCAGTAAAGTACATCTAGGTGAGATAATTTCCAAGTAATTTGAAAAATAAGAAATAGTATGCTGACTTAGACTCTGAATTGATTCCCCCAGTATTCTCTTTATGACTGGGATACCAAGAGATGTTCTATAGGAGAGTCCATATTTAAGGTGTCTTAGTTTGGTTCCCACCTGAGACAAAGGATTCAGATCCAGGTAGCTTATCTGAGAGGTGCAGAGAATACTGGTGTGAAGTGGCTTGGTGATACAGGGAAGGGAAAAAAGCCTGAAGTGTCATGAAGCCAGCTACCATGGTGCATACTGGGACTCTACCTTCCAAGCACACCTCAAGGAATGTACAACACACAGTTTAGAATTATTCTACCCAAAGGACAAGGGGCTGGGGTGTTTATATACAATTTTTCAGAGTCACTGATTGAGGGATTTTTCTGTTGGGGGCCAAGGGAGGGCATGTTAATTCTTTGCTCCTCTGGTCTGCCATGCAAGTAGGCAGCACACTTTTCTGCAGTTCCAAGGAAAAGAGATTGTAGGCATAGAGATGCAGATACTGGCAGATGGAAATCACCTGAGAATCCTGAACTATCTAGGGATGTGGGAAAGGCACTGGCACCATCTACTTCACAGATTAGAGATACGTGGGGGTTGGAAAAATCCCTCCAACACTGTTTGCTTTCCTCCATAACCTAACAACATAGTAAGAACAATATAAAATAAACATAAGCCTCATTATGCCTCATGATTTCCATGTCAAGCTTTTCCATAATCTATTACAATTACTAATTAGATATAATAAACTGTCCCACTCTTTTTTTCCTGTTGATTCTGAGAACAATATTAGAGATGTTAGACTCAAATGTGACTCCATTAAATATTCTTTCAGTCATTCTCAATTTTCTTTATATTTTTTGCCTGTACCCTCTTCAGAGATAATGAATGGCTCTATGTTTACATCCTAGTGTGCATAGTGTCACTTCTTTTTGTTGTCTAAGAACTAAGCTGTCTCTGGAAAATGAAGAAGATTCTCTTATAAATAGTTTTCAAAGCATAAAAAAGAAATATCTAAAACCATTTCCCTAGCTGGACTTGTTCATGGTTACCCTCTCATCCTATCTCTTTCTGGACGGTCAGTGCTGAGAACATTATTAGAGGTCACAGATATACTAAAAGAACATAGATGACAAATGGCCCTAATAAGAAGACCAGCCTCAGGGGCTGTGAAGACTATTGTGAAGACTGAAGGAAAAAATGTTTGAGAAATCACTAAATAATCATTGGTTATGTCGTGGTGGCAACATCCCCAGAGTGAGGGGTTTTGCAAGCCAGGGGGTCATAAGGACACAGGATTCCTGAGAGAGAGGGAGCTCTGAAAGTTAAAAGACCCTAAAAGTGACTGACTGAGATACCCCTCTTTGCCAGCCCCATTGGGTTTGGCCTGTGAAGCAGCCCTTAGTTTGTCTTCTTGGGGTGGAATTATCTACCAGTTACTTCTTTTTAGTTGCCATCTTGATGCTTATTTGTATTGAATTTAAAATCCTCTCTTTAAAAATGCCGTTTTACATTAACAACTCAGGCAACAACAGATGTTGACGAGGATGCGGAGAAAGAGGATCTCTTTTGCACTGCTGGTGGGAATGCAAACTGGTGCAGTGACTCTGGAAAACAGTATGGAGGTTCCTCAACAAATTAAAAATAGAACTACCCTACGACCCAGCAATTGCACTACTGGGTATTTATCCAAGGGATACAGGTATGCTGTTTTGAGAGGGCACATGCACCCCAATGTTTATAGCAGCACCATCAACAATAGCCAAAGTATGGAAAGAGCACAAATATCCATCGATGGATGAATGGATAAAGAAGATGTGGTGTATATATATACAATAGAGTATTACTCGGCAATCAAAAAGAATGAAATCTTGCCCTTTGCAACCGTGTGGGTGGAACTGGAGGGTATTATGCTAAGCGAAAGTAGTCAGTCGGAGAAAGACAAATACCATATAACTTCACTCATATGAGGGCTTTAAGATACAAAACAGATGAACATAAGGGAAGGGAAGCAAAAATAACATAAAAATAGGGAGGGGGACAAAAACATAAGAGACTCTTAAATATGGAGAACAAACAGAGAGTTACTGGAGGGGTTTTGGGAGGGGGGATGGGCTAAATGGGTAAGAGGCATTAAGGAATCTATTCCTGAAATCATTGTTGCACTATATGCTAACTAACTTGGATATAAATTTAAAAAAATAAATTAAAAAAATTAAAATGCTGTTTTAAATTGTGAAATAATACACATACAGAAGAGTACATGTAATAACAAAACTGTTTAGCAAAATAAACTATTAACAGTGTTAAAAAAGGCTAACCACAGAACAGGAGAAGACATTTCAACTAATAAGTAAATATTTTATTGTAGTCTAATACATCAATATATTTGCTTTTGGGAGGGCCCAAAGTGATATTTTAATTGGTTTTTATAAAGTGTTTTTATGTAGTTTCATTAATATTTTACTCCAAGTCTCATGAAGATAAAATACCCCACTGGATATTCATAGAATACTAAAGGGCATTGTTAAATTATGCATTTATTGTGCTGCTAAATTTTTCCCTTGATTTTTTTTCAATTTTTAAATTGTGGTAAAATAAATAACATAATATTTACCATTGTAACTATTTTAAGTGTACAGCTCAGTGGTATTAAATCCATTCATAATGTTGTGCAATCATCACCACCAG